AAAGTATAAAAATATATTAAGCCTCAACAATATTAAAGCAAATACAAAAATAAAAAATATATATCAAAATTTTAAAATATAAAAAATAAAAAAATATAAGAAAGCAAAAAAGGCAAGAACTTTTTAGAATACTTTTTATTTGCCTTTGCAATTTCGTGCTGGAGCGAGAGAGCAAATTCCAGCGTAGAGGCGCCTAAACAGTCGTAATCGCATAGAAATATTAGATAAGAATTATTGAAGATTGTGTATGTGTGTGCATGTATACATATAAAGCATTATTTTAAGAAATATCACACAGTCCTCATAAGAGAAAATGACTTGTAAAGCACGTAAAAATATGATAATGTAACTTTATTATTTTAATGAATACTTTATGAAATGCGCGTTTTACACATTTATACATACGGTATCATGAAACATCCACACACACGCTGCGCGTACATAGAATATATAATTTTAAATAAAATAGTAAAATATCTCAAATACACAACCAAAATTTTATGAAAAATTCCTCCAGACAAAAGTTAGAGGATTTCAAGGAAAATAATTCTTGATATTTATTCTTTGTGCCCATCTTCAAACCATACATAATTAAAGATTAATTTTATATTTTTTTAATAAAAGCAATTGAATTTTTAAAATACAAACCTCAATCTTTTGCGCGTATTATATATGCGCGTATATGGTTGTTTCTAAAATGTTTCTAAATTGTATAAATAAAATCTTTTTCGTTAGGATGATGAATTAAGAGCTGAAAAAGTTACAATCCGGCGCCATTAATATTATTCAAGGTAAGGGGGTGATTACGATAACTGTGGCCCCCTATTTGAAAGGTCGTTTCTGAAGACATTTTTGACGAGGAACACGGGAAAAATAGTAAAAAAAATTTCCGACCAATAGTTTTCGAGATGTATTACTTGTTAAAATTTGTTTAACTTTTTTATGCCAAGGTAAGGCACGTGGAAATTGCGCTATCGAATTTATATCTATCTCTTTGTATAATACATGCATTCTTAAAGTTTGTACACATTCTATACCTGTTTGGTCATTATGGTCATGTATCAGTATCTGGTTCTTGTCGGTCGTGTATATGTGTATATGTGTATATGTGTATATGTGTAGGGGAAAGTAGGTAAAACCGGGTACTTTTTTAGATTTATATTCCTACAAAAAATCTAAGAGTAAAAAAAATTTGCCAACCATTAGTAGTCTTTAGTGAACCTTAAACTATGAGAAAATAAGGCTAGTTGCTGAAAAATAAATTTTTTGGTTACCAAGAATAACAAGATTTTATGGAGAAGTCACAGTACCCGGTTTTGTCCTACCGGTAAAGTAAAACCGGGTACCCATTTGAAAATATGCAAAACACCGTGTAATTACAAAATCTAGATTTATTTTAATCTGAATACAATATAAAGATGTATTCTATTGACAAAAATCACAAATAAAGATATTCTCTTGTTCGACATTGCTGTAGGACTTTCTTATTTAACTTTTTAACTTTAGGGGTTTCAAAAAGCTTTTTTTTTAGTGATTTCCATCCATCCTCAAAAATAATCGAAGTACTTTGAAATTGGATCAAATCATTCAAAAAATATCAAATTTATTGCAGTGCAACGTAATTACTTTTGCATGCAAAGTTATTATGTAAATGAATTATATGCACGTGTCGTATAATAAATACGCAAAATACGTAATCTCTACGAACTATCAAAACGACCTCCACAATGACAGCTACTCATTGTCAGTTGAAGTAAGCACAGCGAGAGATAATATCGAGTGTATCGCACTATCGAGAAAATGAAAAAAAGAACGAGCAATATCTTAAAAATACAAATAATAATCAAACTTATAAATTACTCATCGCATATCGTTGCTCCGTACATCGATCAATACTGCATCAGATTTTATTTTTCTCTCTTGTTCATCCTTTTCTGTTTCTTCGTAGCACTTATACTCACCCACAAAAACACGATTAATTATGGTTATTTGTATAAGCAGCCATCGCGAAATACTTCGCACGGCACTCCCGATCGCGGAACAATTACACGAGATATACACTTTATTATATCATAAAAGAGTAATACAGAAAGTATGATTCGCACTCATTTACACGAAGCCAAAATCATGCGCATCGTTGCAAGAATGATATAGCAATCGTTTAATTAATAATTATTTTATGCTCGCATTTTAGAAAAAGTTATCGGACGAAATATATTTGACTATAAGCATTTTTAAATAAATAATTATTATCCGTAAGGGTCGATGATATCGAAGGATCGAAACAAAATTTACAATTTTTATCCCTTCGATTTTTATTCGCGATAAAGATGATCGCTATTGAGAATTTGATAAAGATTTATATTTGCAATTACTTATATTCGCAATACAGTTTTATGTCGTTTATTAAAAGTAAATCATTAATTGTAATAATCATAGCGGTTTCTATCCAGATACTAGTCGCATTTAGGAATAGCATTTAAGAATATAGGAAGCGTTTCGTATCACTACATTACTGCTCGAGTATCGCCGTACGAATGGTAAGAAGACCATACATGTAAACAGTAAGGCTGCCAAGGCCGAACACTTCGTTATTGGAAAGCCAAAATATTTTCCGTATACTCTATCATTTATGTGTATACGCAGAATATTAAAGTGTATAAAATATATATTTTAAATTATGATTATTTATTTATTGAACGATTGATGTATCACGAAGCCTTTCGTTATGTTAATTACTCGACTTTGCGATTCAATTGTTTAATTGCGCGATTTTAATTCGAATCATATTTACATGCCGTCGAAAGTCGAACAATAAAGCGGCCAACAAAATATATTTCAATTGAAGTATTTTTGAAGAAATATTTATTGCTTATAAGGATCGTAATAAAATAATACATAATTTCGATTTTTTCTGTCACTTTGATTCTTATTTTATTAAATGTGAAGGTTCACATCATGCGAAATGCGCGCTTCGAAACCTATTGTAGCGATATAATTACGTTTAGTTATAATATTAAATTATAATTATTATTTAAGATATGTAAAAGATAACTAATTATTAATCTTATCAAATTATTTCCTTTATATACTTGTCGTGATCGCGTTTAGGAAATTTAACGGAGTCTCGCTACTTTACTGCTCGAGTGTCACCGTGCGAATGATAATGATAACACGTAGGAAAGGAATTTGAGCGTATCACCCTACTACAGTTCTATTCAAATGTCGCTGTATGAATGACAACAAAGCCGTGAACAATAGCGCGCCAATGTTTATGTCGCCAAGGCCGAATACCATGTTAGGTATTGCTAATTCGCTGCCGAAATATTTTACGTACTATAAAATATATATGCAAAATATTAAATTTTATAAGTAAAGTAAGTAATTTTAAATTATGGATGAATTATTTATTAAACGATTAATAGTAGTATAGCTATGCGGGTTCTAAGCCTGGTCCTCGTCCTCTGAGGAGGGATGAGTGGCGAGGGGAAACCGGCGCGTGGGGTATGACGTCACGCCGCGGTTTCCCCGCGTGACGTCATACCCCCCCACGCCGGTTTCCCCTCGCCTCTCAACCCCCCTCAGAGGATCAGGCTTAGAACCCGCATAGCTATACTACTATTAATGTATCACGGAGTTTATCGTTATGTTAATTAATTGATTTTGCGATTCGATCGTTTTATAGCACGTTCTTAATTCAAATTATATCTAGATCGTCGAAAATGATATAGCATCGTGGACAAAATATATTTGAGTCTATTTGTTGTTAAAGAAATAATTATTGTCCGTAAAGATCGCAACAAAACAATAATTTGTAATTTATTTTTGTCACTTCGATTCTTACTTTGAGAAAGATTCTTACTTGTATTTTATCGGTTTGAGAATAATTTTGATGGATTCAATTAATGAGATTTTTTGCGATTAAAATGACATTAAACACAACATAATCGGATAATTTTTAATTAAACTAATAATAAAAATTTTGATTACATATTTAACTAAAAATTATCCGGTTTTTGTCGTGTCTCGTATCATTTTAATCGCAAAAAATCATTAATCCATTAAAATTATTTTCAAACTGGTAAAATATATATTCAATAAATGCACTCCGTTAGACACTATTTCTGCTCCGAAGCGTTTGATGGACAAATAAAAACGAAGAATCTTGTTCTTCGAGCGAAAATAGTGTTAAGCAAAGCGTATCTATTGTTATATTTATCTTCAAAAGACTTATATATAATATTAATTATCTTATCATTTTACTTATGTTTATATATAAATTATGCTTATATAAATTTATATATAATAGCTTTTAATGTGCATCAGTGCGCACTAATGCATCCAACTGAATTTATACATTAAAAAATTACTTAATTAATATAATTAATAATTAATAAATAATTAATTATAAAAAGCTATATAAATTAAAAGCATAAATTTGATATTACTTAAAATGCAATTAATTGTAAATATCTTTTACACGTTATATATTTAAAAATTAGGAAAAAAATTATTAAGAAAATTTATTTAAGAAAATTTATTTTATGTCACATGCGCATATACATAAAAATACTTCAATAATAACTTTCAATAATAAATTATCGCTGTCCGTAATATATACTAGAATGGCAAAACATCACGCACAGCTAATAAAACATTAATAAATTCATAATAATTCTTCGCAATTTTGATCCATAATTATGGATCTAGTACACACATGCATCAACCGGTTCTTTTACCGTAGCATTGAAAAGCGCATGGCAGATTCAGGGCCTCAGCATAGTAAAAGAAACAGGGAATAGAGAACAGAGAACAACTGCATTGGAATGCGCGCACAACAAACCTGAATCTGCCCATGTAGTTCCGCCGGTTTTAAAATGGATCTAGATGACGCTACTGTATCAGTTAGAAAAAGTGTCTTATGAAAAACGGCGGCGTGACTCCTGTCAGGCTTCTCTCTGATAGGAGAGACTTGAAACGAGTTGGCAACACTGTGCTTGAGTTGTCCCATTCTGGCATCGCTCTGGGCTCTGGATCCTGGATCTGGACTAGATATTGCGTATTGATGCTGACCGGTGTTGTCGTAGAGGTTAGAGAAGCGTATAAAGGGTAAAGCGACGAACGTCGAGCGTCCATTCTCATTTCAAGGAAACTTATTTTGAGCTTTATCAGACGTCGTAGGCGCATGGCGATAAGATTGATTAATCATACAAGTGAAACAGAATAACGACCACGCACGTTACCGAATTCTAAGTATTACGTATATAATTTAACGTAGAGAACGTAGAGAATTTAAGTTGGATTCGACGCCACGAACGAGCGAGAACGCTATTCACGGACGAGGCAAACAGGGTTTGCATTATTACTTAAATCGTGATATAACTACGTATAATACCAAAGAGTAGTATCAATGAGCTCTCAACAAAGCCCAGCCGCCCTGCAAACTACCGTCGACCGCGAGAAGGTCTACACATGGATAATCGAGCTGTCAAATCCGGACACCCGGGAGAATGCTCTGTTGGAATTGAGCAAGAAGCGCGAAGTGGTGCCCGATCTGGCACCGATGCTCTGGCATTCGTTTGGCACCACGGCCTCTTTGTTGCAAGAGATCATCAACATCTATCCTGCAATTAATCCTGCAACTCTAACTGCTTATCAGAGCAACCGGGTATGCAATGCCTTGGCACTTTTGCAATGCGTGGCCAGCCATCCAGAAACGAGGTCTGCATTCCTACAGGTAGGAATATGCTGCAATTTTTGAAAGTTGCTGTATCAAGGAAACAAAAAATTATACATATAATATGTAATAAATAAATATGACCTTGGATCATAGATTATTGTAAGATATGAAATTTAACATAATTTCCATTAAAATCTTATATTTAAATTGATTTTATTAATTAATATGATTCTTATTTAAGATTAAGTATTTTAAAATCTTTCCATACTAATGAGAAAATTAACTTACGCATGAAAATAAAAATTGGTATGAAGATACATAGTAATATTTGGCTTTGCTATCTGTTCTATCGTTAAAAATCTTATGTAATGAAATTAATAATTACAAACTAAATATATGTCTATATATGTGATTTCAGGCTCATGTTCCATTATTTCTGTATCCATTTCTGCATACTGTTAGTAAAACAAGACCATTCGAATATTTGAGATTAACAAGTCTTGGAGTGATTGGCGCACTTGTCAAAACAGATGAGCAGGAAGTGATTACTTTTCTGCTTACTACGGAAATTATCCCATTGTGTCTACGAATTATGGAAAGTGGTTCTGAATTGAGTAAAACTGTAGCGACGTTTATACTACAGAAAATTTTGCTGGATGATAGCGGCTTGTCTTATATCTGTCAAACATATGATAGATTCAGTCATGTTGCAATGATCTTAGGAAAAATGGTTCTATCCTTAGCAAAAGATCCTTCTGCAAGATTACTTAAACATGTTGTGAGATGTTATCTAAGATTATCTGATAATCCAAGGTGAGTACCAAAACAAAATGCATGTGAAACAATATCACAAAATTTGAAAAATTAAAATATAACTTTGTGTGCAGAGCATTGTTAGCCTTAAGACAGTGCTTACCAGATCAATTGAGGGATAATACATTTGCAACATGCTTGCAAGAGGATGCTTCAACAAAGCATTGGTTGTCTCTACTTCTTAAAAACTTAGAGACTGGTCCACAACCGGGTCCGCCGACACAACCAGGACAAGATCCTCGGACAATTGGCATGTCGCCGCTCGCTTCCTGAACTTATCAAATTTCCGATAATTGTAAGGTATGTTACATATAAGACCGAACATCAAACGCATCTTTCCGTGAATCGTTCTGTATTTTTTTCATAATAATTAATGGCTATGCCATCTACATATTATTTCACAAATCGTGCTGTGAGAACTAGTAATAAGTATATCATCGATTTGGAAATCAAATACATGATAATTGTAAATATTGTATAGATGCTTGTGCGGCAAGATCTAGCAGTTACAATTTTAATATAATTTGAATCCAATAAATGTCCATTTTCTTTCTTGAAGTTTAGGATTGTCAGCGAATAATATTGACAAGTTTATACAATTTTGTTTTGTGCGAACGAGATATTACATATGGTATAAGAAAAATGACAGATATATATATATGATATGCGTACTTTAATATGTAAGAATTATATGTAAAAGCAACAAAAGTGTGATTGTTATATATACATTTAATTGCCAGATATTCTGATAGAATTTACAATAGATACATTTTATAACATAAATTCAAGCATTATCTATTGCTTGAAAAATATTTTATTGCGTAAAAATCATTCTTCAAGAGATATGTATACAAGTAGACATATGCATATATTGCGATTAATATTCAACTAACTAATATTGAATGAAAGATGTTCTTTCATTCATTTTGTATATTATTATGAGCCTAATTAAATTAACTAGCTAATACATAATGCATTACATACAAAACCATGTAAGCAAAATTTTACTGCTTCAGTTTGTGTACAATGGTTTATAAAGGTAAGGCTTAACATTTTAATATGCCGAGACTTACGCGGTTAATTTTAAATCGTTCTGATCTCAAGTTTTATAAATTTCAGAAGTCTTTAATTTAGAAAATTGGAACCAGAATGATTAAAATTAATTGCATAATTCTTGAGATATCAAACATTAAACTGTTAAGCTTTACATGGGTCGTCTTATAAGATTAATTTACGCGCGTGTATATATAATAAGATATATTCGAGAGAGAGAGAGAGAGAGAGAGAGTTAGTTAGTTAGTCAATCTTGTATCGTTGTGATAAATTGATAACAGGGTACACTATGTATGAGGATTAAACCATTTCATAATACACCGGCATCATTTATATCACCAAACAATTGCGCGAGTCATAGTTTAATTTGATTTAATTTTTATGATATGTTAAACTGGATTCACATAAATATAAATTTGATTTGTATGAACAAGAATATATTTTATTTAATTGAACTACGATGGAAAAAAAACCGATCACTAATGTTTCGAAGAAGTTTGCGTTATCATATCGCTTACATCACTCGTCATCTTTCCGAGTTCAGCTTCATTCTATAAAAAAAAAAAAGTATATTAGCGCGATAAGATTTAGCCTAAATGAGGATCGCTGAATATACATACCGCTTTCTGAGGATCCTTCGAGCGTAGTAGACAGTGTATAATGGGTGTAAATAATTGTTTGTCTGTACGACTGTACTTAGACGGTCCAGTGAACCACGAGACTAGTAGGCCTATTAAGATCGTAGTTAAAAAACCTACCCACGTGTACCAGAGATACGACATTCTGTATAAAAAAAATGGTTGTTCTCTGAAAAGATAAAAACAGTTTAGTTACGCGAGATACGAAAAGAGTTTTTGCGCGATTCTTATATGCGAGAATAATTAAATATAATAAATGTACCTAACAGCGGTCTCTACGATCATCGTGAAATTCCCGATAGTACTATTCAGCAATTCGGAGCATCCCTCTATTGATACCGGTTTCACCGGGAAATAGATCGATCCGCTGGAGATCGCCGCTTGTGTACCAAATGAGATCCAAGCAACCAAGTTTAGACTAATCAGTGTACCGACGAATGCTCCCTATTCGGGTAAGAAAATAGAGACAAAAAAATCGTTCAGCGAACACAGAATTTCTTAGAACTGGTTCAATTTTAATAACTTGGCAAGTCGCTTGTATCGCAAATCTCTCACGAAAATTAACGTTAGAAATTTTGAGTATCCTGACTGATACTATATAAGACTTTAAGTTTAAAACTTCATATAAATAATCGAATCTTTAAAGCGAATTGTTAAGAAATAATTTAAGTATTATCTATATACAAGCGATAGTATAAAGTTAAAGTTCTGTTGTATCGATGAAATCGATAACGTAAAAATGTCTGTGATGTAGTCTATCGATTTCTCTACAAATTTTTACCTCCTTACCATTGAATTGGCCATTGGAAAAAACATGCCCAATGTAAACACCCCGAGTAAAGGCCCAGCGGTTATTCCAGACAAGCTCTTGCCAGCCTGAAAAGAAATTCAGTGTGCTCTGTACGAATTAATTGAGAATAAATTTACGGATCCTCGAGTGACCCGATATTTTCCGAGTAGATAGTTCGCGTGCGCATCCCTTACTTGAATCAAACCGCTCAGTTTCTCTACCATGAAGACGAGGCCCACGCAAATGGCTCCTATTATCACAACCGTAGCTTTCATTATGAGGCTTGCGCCGATGTTGGACATAGGTTTACGAAGACACGGCTTAATCATGTCTTCGTAGATCACGCCCGACATGGAATTCAATCCGGTTGACATTGTGCTATAGTTTAAGAAGCGAGCATATTACATAATCGCAAAAAGGAAAAATAATTAGATATATAGAGCGTTAGCAAGAAACATTTAATCTCTTTAAACCGTGTAAACCATTACTCTTGCTAATCCCAGATCTGATTTTTTTCACTTTGATATAAGTAAATACTGGAAATATCTCGATATTGACCAAAAACATCGCAAAATTCAAAGAAAATATAATATCTTGTAATATTTTACAGTACCTCAATGCTGCACTGAATACACCGGAAACAAATAATCCTGGCAAGCCTGGTATAGTGTGTGACAATTCCATCACGAAGTACGGTAACAGTTGATCGGGTTTTCGTATTTGCTAAAACGAGCAATTTTTTGCGCAATGTTTATTCATTCTCAGACCTTCTTTAGCGAAAAGTCTAAACGTATTCGTCAAAAAAATTTCAAGTTGAATAACGGTCACAATTTATCCATAGAATAAAAAAAAAAGGCGATATATAATAATGTAGTCAGTCATTAATTGATGCAGTCGTGAGTCGATTGTGTGATAAGTCATTTCGCAGCGGTTTCAATCGATGTGAGATAGAATTCGATAAAGGCTGTAACGTATTTATTCTTTAAGGGATAATTCTAAGAGAATATTTGTCTAATAAAAAGCGGAGATTAGTAATAAAAGTGATTAGAATAGAAAATTCTTAAATACTAGAAAGCAACCAAACAATATCGCCAATTACAAAAGAATTATAAATGAATTACAAAAGAATTTATAAGTTGAATCACGCGTCCGTCTATGTGTGTGATTAGTATGAATCTATGTCGTTAGATTAAAAATAATAATATAGGTCAAAGACTTTATCTTCGTTTCCTTGACAGGTTAGTGGTGAAGGAAAGTTCATACGAGTAGTAAGTTTAAACTGTGAACAAACCCTCATATTGTATTAATTTCTCTTCAAAATTAATAATGATTTTGTAAATTTTTATTAAAAATATTTCATTTTGCGAATTACATTATGTGCCGAAATTTTTTTTTTTTTTTACCTTTGTCGTGATCGGATCACAGTCGTAGAAGGCCGCATAGATGACGATTCCCGTGTAGCAACATAACGAGACAATGCTGATTATGCCTACGGCCATTATCATAATCGCCCTAGATATAAAAGGAAATTAAATGAGCGAGACGCGCGACGCCGTGCATTATGAAGCATTTGTGGAACTCACAAGTTAGATTTCCTCAAATTCGGCATCGCCAGACATCTCTGCACCATCGCCTGGTTCACCGAGCATGTGGCCAACCAGTTTAAATAATTGCCGACCACCACGGTCCAGAAAGTGTGCCTTACTGTAGGATCCGGATCCATACTGATAAAAACAGTAAGAAAATTTGCAAACATTTATTGCTCGATATAGTTGTCGATGTATAATAGTAGATTAACGGAATAGTAACATTATGATTTGTTGCGTAATACGATATTAAGTAATTTTGAAAAAATTAATGATAATTAATTGTGTATATAATAAAAATATGCAAAAATTACTGATAGTTAACTGTAAATCTAATAAACATATAGAAAAATAAAAGGAGAATTTGTTCGCACTTGAAGAATTCGATTCTCCCGGTATCGTAATTCCTCTTCCACACTTCTGCCACGCTGCCGACTCTCGCTGTGCCGAGTACGGCAACGGCAATGGCAGCCCCAAACATCATCGCTGTCTGAATGGTATCCGTCCAAACGACCGCCTTTAGACCACCCTGGGATAAAAGATCATATATTTTTTATAATTAATCGTATTAAATTTTATCGATATTGCATTGAATATGCGATACTATTATTTTTTTTTTGAAACGCTTGTTGCGGATTAAGTTTTTTTTTATTCTACTTTTTTAAATACACGGAAAGAAAATGCTGTTGCTTCAATTAAAGTCACGGGCTGCCGACACCGACAAACATACATAGTTCATTCAATGATATTTTTATTGAACCAAATATCTGGATTATTAAAACAATTATCCAGATATTTGGTCCAATAAAAATATCATTGAATGAACTATGTATGTTTGTCGGCAGCCCGTGAC